ACCTTAGCAGTTGCGAGCGCCGTAAAACCTTATACTACTACTACTACCATATTAGTACGTAATTTTCATGTATTTTCTTGGTCCCACTTCCTTTTAAACGGCAATCAGACAGTCCAAGTATTGGTATTCTCCACGTTTTCATGAAAGTAATGAGTTCTGGTTCCTTGTCTTTGAGGCCACAGATGTTAAGAGTACAAATCCTTTAACGTTTCCAAGTCGTTTTGCGTCTGTATCAGTCAGTTTCTTTCTTTCGTTGTTTTTTTTTAGCAATAAATAATCCGCTGCCGAATTGCCAGGCCTGTCATAGAAAATTCCAGCTCATCATAGATACAATTTAACAAACTTGATCACATAGAATTTGAATTATCTGCAACTATAGCTAGCTCTTAGATCTGTTTACTTTTTCTGGAACATGTCAAACAAAGGCTTGACTTTGTACATGGAGTCGAAGTCTTTGTGACCTCGAGGTGGCTGATTCTCCGAATCGTTTAGATGGAAATGCTGCTTGAGTTTCACGAAGTAATTTTTTGACATGACTCCAACAATTCCAGGAACTCTGAGGTCATAATTCGTTGACCAGTACGTATTAAACTCAGGAAATGAGTGGGCTTCTCCTCCTCGCAGCATCAGATTTCAAATATCTATCATACATTTTCAAAATTTCACCCTCTCTTTGACCAATGTTTAGAATTCCAATTATCAGATGCTGCCAACCCGAAATGCCGCATAACTCAAAACAGAATCAATCAATAAGAGTACTTCTGTAAGGAGGAGGGCACAAATCTTGGGAATAATGTGTGAAAATTTCAATGAAATCTGACATTTTGTTATTGAGATGCTTTCTATAAAGTTATCAGTCAGTCGAAAATGCAAAGTATTTGAAACATTGTGCAATCACAACCATCTCAGTTTTCACTTTAAAATACAATGATATTCAGCAACATACACTACCTTTACATCATACTTATATATATATAAGGCTATTTAAAAAGCTTTTTTACAAGGTTTTACATCAATTCCATGCCCCCCCCCCCCAACTAAGAAATCAGTTTCTGTTCTTCTCTCTGCTTAGCCTCTTCTCTGATCTTTCTATGTCTTTTGGCTTTCTCTGTGACTGAAGCCTCTGTTTTCACAATCCTTTGATGATCCCTCTTCTTGCCTCTCTTTTTTGTTTGTTTACCAACACTCGAGTCTAGGGTAACCAAAAATCTCTGTGAGGCTGCCAATCCAAACTTGAACTCAGCTACACCAAGCGCAACAGAACACGGTCTCTGTTTTTAAACTGGTGTTTTGGACACTGAGCCCAAATAATAGCATGCGCACTTTCATTGGCATTTAAGGTATTCTGGATGCCCTGAAGGATGCATCGTTTTAGCAAATCATCGGTACTTAGCCATTCTCTGGAACACAGGCCTCACGTGGTCACATACTAACGTGTACAGAGGGGCGCCCAAGTTCTCGGTGTGAGGTCCAGGTGGTAGTCCCCTGGCAGTTGCTCTCTGATGGAAACACCAAGTTGACTCTCCTTGCGGGCAGTTGCCATGACGAGGTTCTTTGTCTGTAGAGGAGCAGTGGTCGACGATGGCCATTACTGCTCTCTTCATCTCTGGCACTGATTGCTTCTAATTGTGGTTTGGTAGTAGCTGCGCAGCTGAGCTATCATCTCCTCCCTTAACTTCCAAGTGTCACTTTCAATTTTGACTGTTCAGAGACGAGATTCGTTAACACTTTACTAAGACATTTGCCGACATGGTTCACACATTCATGTTTCTTTACTTCCACACCAGGATAGGGGTCTTGCTTATGGAGCTCGGATATTGTCTTTGAATCACCATCGCTGATCATTGAAATGTATCTCAGACCTTTCTTCAAAATGGACCTGCTCCATATCCTCAGTGCAGAAAGAAATTTCTCCATCCCTCCGCTTGTTCCTTCATAGTTGGCAGCACACACAGGTTTGTGATGAGCCAACCGGTGTTCGTACTTAAGGATGTTCTCCTCTTGAAGACGCTTTCCTGTTGTGGCACAGACAGGGCAGTAACTGGTCAGTACTTCGTAGTCTACAATGAGGCCAGTTTTGCGCTCTACGGCCTGTCCAAAGCCTGTTTTCGACGTTTTACCTCTCTTCTGCCAGCTGCCGTCGAATGAAACATGGACATCTTTGACTTCAGAAGTTTGCTCAGAATAAGCCTCTTTTACCTTCTCTTTGGCGGTGGCTAGAATGTCTCTCGAAAAGCCATCACATTTTTACTTGATCGACTTGACCTGACTCAGCTGTAAGTCTTGTGGTGTAACGAAGGAATGTTCATTATCTCACTAAAATTGCACAATCCTGTGGGACCCATGCCTGTAGCGGTAGCTGTAGCAACTGCTCTCCTATTGACTTCAAACACAATCACATTTCTTGGAGGTGAATGCTTTGGCTAACTGCGTCTCCCACACTGTGCATTTGACTGTGTAAGAAAAACTTTAAGTATTTTAGCATTATAATAGAGGTGTTGACCTGAATCGGGCTGTGCAGTGTACTGTTGCGAACAAAACCAACCTTTTTTCATGCGCTCATATGACCTCATGCAGTTGCGAGCGCCGTAAAACTCTTACTTAAACACCTATTTAACCGTATGCAGTTGCGAGCACCGTTACCAGAAGAAACGAGGAGAAAATGGCCAAGTGTTGTTACTGGCTTCTCTTTATTTAAAACAATTTTTTTTTTTATGTGCATAGTGACCAGAAGGCAGCCTTACATTTTTCATCTGACATTGATAGTCTAATGGTTAGGCTACTGACTTGTAATAATGAGTTTACTGGTTTGGGGGTTAAAGCCTCAGGCTCGACGTTGTGTCTGTGGGAAAAGCATTTTACACAAATTTTCCTCACTTCACCCTGATGGGAATGGATACCCGGCCATAGACAATAA